CAGGTAGATTTGTTAGAAACAGCTAGGCTGAGGAAGCTATTTGGACTCAGAGCAAAGTCATGTCTAAGACTAGCATTTAGTGTATCAAGGACCTGGTGGCAGGGCTTGGATTCAATGGTGCCACAGTCTCTCAAGTTATTCATGTGTAAGAATTTTGGCCCTGGAGATCTTGAATGGTAGAGCCCCATGGCAGCTACTGTCCCTACAGGACTTTTACCATCCTATAAGAATGTGTATTTTTTCAAGGTGTCAGCAGCATTGCTTTCAAGCCAAGCCTGATAACACCATCCCCTTCTGACTTCAGATCCAACCTGGGACCAAAAACCACAAGAGCAGGTTGGCAGCCAAGCATTTAAATGCAAATGCTACTCTTCTCCTATTTCAAGAAATTATTTTAAATTCTGATGGCATCCAGCCCTGGTTGTAAGACTATTTTTTAAAACAGAACTGCCAGATCATTGTGTCATAATTTCCCTTTCCTTTCCTTTCGGAAAGGAAAAGCTTTCAATGCCCCAAAGAATTTCCACCAATTTCTCTCCTCTTGCCTTCTTTCAAAGCACCCGCCTCCTCCCTACCGTTTGTCGTTTTGCTGCAAACGAGCTTGTTAAAGCACCCCTGCTGCCACTTTTCAGCATGGTGGCACTGGTACATGAGATGCTGGAGTCTGCTGGAGCACAGTAATTACCAAGCTCCAGCAGACTCGATTTATCAAGTCTGGTCTGCCACACCGTAATTACCTTGCTGCATGTGTATAGGTGCCCTTAAAGACGAAGACACTAATATGTTTTTCTTCTTTCCGCTGGTATGAATCGCCATATTGTAACTTGCCACCCAGCAAGGTTTCCTTCCACTCTACACAGAAATAAAGCAAGTTAGTGGTGAAACTTGCTCTCAACTGCCATGGGAATTTCCTGAAATTCCACAAGTTTCAAAGAAAATACCAGCTAGAGCACCCATTTCTCAGTCCTTCACGTCTATGCATTGTTCAGGTGCATCTCTGCTTGCATTTTCCTCCCCAACACATGCTTTTCAATCAGATACGGCTTTTCACAGATTTCATAGACATTAGGGCTGGAAGGAACCTCCTAAGATCGTTGGGTCCAGCCCCCTGCCCAAGGGGCAGGAAGTCAGCTGAGGTCAAAGGATCCCAGCAAGATAAATGTCCAAATATTTTTTGAAAGTGTCCAGAGTAGGTGCTTGCACCGCCTCTGCAGGGAGTCTGTTCCAGGCCTTGGGGGCTCAGACAGAAGCTTTTCCTTATGTCCAGTCTGAAATGGTTCTGCAGGGGTTTGTGGCCGTTGGATCTTGTCATCCCCTGGGGTGCTCTGGTGCACAGGCATTCTCCCAGATCCTGATGCACACCCCTTCTATACTTATAGGCTGCCACCAAGTCACCCATAAGCCTGTGCTTCTCCAGGCTGAAGAGTCCCATAACTCACAGCCTTTCTTCCTAAGTCCTGTTCTCTTGCCCTCTGATCATGTGCGTAGCTCTCTGGACTCTTTCAAACTTCTCCACATCCTTCCTAAACGGTGGAACCCAGAACTGGATGCAGTACTCCAGCTGTGGCCTCACTAAGGCTAAGTACAGCAGGAGGATGACATCCTGGGTTTTGCTCGAGATGCATCAGTAGCATGGCGACGCTGGTACAAGATGCTCCAGGAGCTTTAATTAAAGTGGCTATTGGAGATGCTCTCATTAAAGCCTTCCCTGCTCTCCCCCTCCCCCAGAGTACATGTATAAATGCCCTAAGGTTGCCCAAGCAGATATGGTACCAGAGTGCAAGCAGATCATTCTCCCTATTGAAGGGAAGTACCATCAATGCAAATGAACATTTTTATCAACATTTGCCCTCGATATAGAAAATATACAGGCTATATATATATATATATATATATATATATAAAAATAACTCCAGGGTATTTTGGGTCACAGATGTCCAATGATGATAGAAGTATGTAATCTCTAGAAAATATGATACTAATTAAAATATTACTGTTCCTGAACCATATGCAGAATTCCAAAGTAAGAGACTGCAGATATCTTGTTAGTATAGTAGTTTAATTTACATGGTGTTTAGTATGATGTGAACTAGAAAGCACTGTGGGGTTTTTAAAGTAGATGGACTTTTTCCCATATCATATTGGCAACAGTCCTGCAACAAACATCTTTTTGGCTGATTTTTTTCTGAACAGGTATTGAGAAATGGACTATGAAGTGAAACCAACAGCGAAGTGAAATTTCAAATTTATTTCCATTAGCTCTTTGGCACAAACCATCTCTACATAATATCATTGTCATATGTCTCTCTTACCCCTTTCTTGCTTTGTAAAATTATGCACTTTGCAAATATGCCTTAATAAAATGTTCAGTTGTGATTGTATCCCTGCATCTCACTATCAGCAGTATTTTCTTTTATAGCAACTGAAACAAATATTCTAGTTTCCATATGAGATACTTTAGAAAACCATATATATCTGGAAGTAAATTGGATCCTGACCTAGAATTTTTTAATTTGTCCCTTTCCTTATATTAACCAGTCTCCTAAGGTTTCCTTGTTGTTGTTCTCTAGGGAAGTGATATTAGTATACTCTCCATCTCAATTATTTCGGGGAGGGTTAATTTACTAAATAAAGCATAGCTTGTTCTCATTCTTCTCTACAGGCTTGTGCCAAATGCAGTCCTATTGTACCTTGCAAGTGTCATACAGCCTCTGACAAATGCAGCTACTCTAGCAAGTCCTGAAGGGAAAGATCACAGAAAACAGAACCAGCAGTTTGTGTGTATTTACAACTAGGTCAGTATAATATGCCTGTCAAGCTGTCTTAGCCAGTATGTAGCCTTTCATAGGGAGGCAGCTTCTGCATCACTTTCAGGGTCACATACCAGTGAGCCTGTTGCAGCAAATGGAGACAAAGGATTTAGCACCACAACTACATGTACAGATAAAGACTGTCTTAGTCCCAGACTGGTCCCTGTTGTTTTTCAGGGTACCTGTGACGATCGATAAAGCAGGGGTGGGCAAAATATGGCCTGCAGGCCAGATCTGGCCTACCAAAGGATTTTATCCAGCCCATAGCGGGCCCCTTGGCCCCACCTGGCCCAGGGAGCAGCCCAGGCTGTTGTGCATGGGGCTGGTCTTACCACCCCTAGATGTGTGGCAGCACAGCAGCTGGACTCCACTTCCTGGCAGCAGCTCCACAGAGACCAGTGAAGACCTCCATGGGCAGGATGCGTGGCAGGGTGGATGTGATGGGGTTGTGAACTGGTGGGGAGCAGCATCCACAACTGGAACAGGTAGGCAGGGCCAGGATCTTGGGACCATGACAGTGCAGGGCTGGGGCCTCCACATGCCCCTACCTACAGAACCAGACATCCTTGTAATGGGTGCTGGGGAATGGATTGTGGCCCTGCGCTGGACCCCAGCCTCACACTGTCACGGCCCCAAGACCCTGGCCCTGCCCACCGTCCCACTCCTGGTGCTTCCTACCCACCTGTGGCCCCATTCCATTAGTCCTGCCTTTTTATGAGGTTTGTGGAGGGTGGGTGCTGCTGAACCAGCCTGTGACACACCAAAACTCCCTAAGTGGGCCTCCGGTCCAAATAATTGCCCACTGCTGCAATGTGGGCAAGCAATGAATATGCAACGAATGAACCAACAGAAAGTTCCCTGTGGTCTGGATCTAACCCGTGAGGAGGAACAAGTTTGACATCCTTGCTTTAAGTAAGCATGCTACTGAGCATCACCTAATTTCACTTCTGAGTGAGAGAGGGGAGAGATGTGTAGGAAATTTTGTACGATGGTTTTAAACTTTTTATTTTCATAGATCCTAAAATTCCAATTCCTACATTTAAAGAGAATTCTAGAAAGAGGCACATTTAAAAAAAAAGAAGAAGCAATATTTAATTTACAATACCCAAGTACAATAACGACTTATTACATCCAAGTCTTATCTTCAGTTCTTTCCAGTTGAACCAAAGCCACCCACACCACGTTCAGTGTCATCTAGATTCTGAAAAATATCAAACGTTAGCTTTTTCAAAAAGTTTTAAAACAGTAAAATTGTTCCTATTCTTGCAAAATTCATTTAATTTTCCAGAGCTGATGAGTGATTTATAGCATAAGAGATATAGCGTAAAAGCAATACCTCACTAAAATACACTTAAAAAAATAAAATTAAAATCCAGTCCAGGAGTAAGTTTTACAGTCTTTGATTTTTAACACATAATACATGTTCAAATACAATGGTTTAACAAGAGTCATCTCCAAGAAAAAAAAATGCATCTAAGACATTTTTCTTTCCATTTGTGATATCCATGATATGCATTAGTGTTAATTGTTAGAGGTGCACCAATATAAAGAAAATTGACATTATTGGCAATTGGCATTTTTTTCACCAGTGTAGTCTAAATGTCACCAATAAATGCCTCGTGTATGCGCGCAGCCCCATACATGCATGTGGCCTGGAATGCAGCCGAGCAGCTTGGAGAGCAGCATCTGGGCAGTATGAAGGGAGAAGGGGTCTGGGGGAGAGGGGCAGATCGAGGCCCCCATGGTGAGGGAGGGAGTGGGGCTGGGGCAGGCACTGCCCAACCAGCGCAGGGTGTGGAGCGGTGCTACAGGTGGCTTGTCTTGGGGCACAGGGGGGTGGGTGGCTCCCGGCTGTTGCATGTACCGGAGGGAGGCATGGGGGAGGCATGTGTCCCCCAGATTTGTGCATGGTGCAAGGGCGGGCTGCCCATTGCGGGCTCAGGGCCAGGGGTGGCACCAGCCTTTTCCTGGCGGGGGGGCTGGGCCTGGGCTGTTTGGGGTGGGGGCTACAGCCACCCCAAAGTTTCCTGTAGCCACCCCATAGGCCCTGCTCCCAGCGCTGCCACCATCTGCCCCATCCATCCTGAGGACAGCCCTGGCCCAGGTCTCCGTGCTGGGAAGAGGCTGGTGCAACCCCTGGCCCCGAACTCACAGCAGATGGCCCACCCTCACCCTGCAGGTGCTGCCCTGGCTAAGCAGTGTCTGCCCCTGCCCCATTTGTTCCCTCACTGTGGGGGCCTTGATCTGCCCCCTCCATGACCCTTCCCCCCATAGACTTACCAGCTGGATGCTGCTCTGCAAGCTGCCGGGTTGCATATTGGCTATCAGATCAGTAGCACCCAATATGGCTGGTTAATAACTGGACATTGGTATTGGCCAAAAAAATCTTTATCAGTGAACCCCTAGTAATTGTTTCAGGGACAGATCTGCATTCCACTTCTGCTCTTCCATGGACAACAGTTGTCAACCAGTGTAACTTGTATTTTAGGTAAATGCTGGGCAGAGACACCTACAGTTTGAAGTGCTCTCAAACTGTGTTAAGTTTATTAATGTAGGAATTAAACATACTCTGATTGATCACCGATTTTTTTAAATGCACTCTTCCCATGCCTGCCCATCCTTCCAAGACTTAAAATTTACATATTACTGTTATAGTTATCAGTGTTACCTTGGATAAAAAAAGGAAAGTTATAGAGATTCTTTAGTTTGCTTGTGCAGCTATTGATACTACCATGAATCTGAGCTTAAAAATAGCTTTTCATATACATCTTAAAAGCCAAACAAAATGTTTCATTCCACTAACTTACCTGAACCTCCTCAAGATCAGGATAGAAGATACGTTCACAGATCAGCTGGGCAATCCTGTCTCCTTTTTTAACTTAAGAAAAGTAAGTTGAAGTTGTTTTCATTTGTATTAAGAAAAATAACAATCTGCATTTTAAAATGTCATAAAATAGTAAAGAATTAGCTCTTGATTTGAATCTCAATTAAGCAGACTTCAGTAGCAACTCTAAGGTTTAAATTATGATTAACTGGCAATTTAAAGCCATTCAAAATTTCTCAAGTTCACAATGATTTAAATAAAGTTTAAATTAGGCAAAACAGCTTCAGATAGATACATTTTTCAAACAACCTTTTGCAGATGATGTATTTTCATCTTTTTCCCAAATTAATATTCCCTAGGCCATCATTCATCATGGGAGGTCTTCATCTTTCTTAACTGTTGTGTCCCAGTTAGGTTCATTATGCTGGAATTTCACTTTTGGTAAACTATGAGAAGCTCTCACTGAACATAAAAAAAGTTAACTCTTGAACAGAGCTCTCGCCTCCCTGCCTGGGCTACAATCTGTCCTATCCTATCTATTTTACTGGGAGCACAAACCTTTTCATGCTGTCTGGCTGAGGATTTTCCCTACATCTGATCTGCAAATGGTTGCTAGTTGTATGGTAACCACCCATAACTATTCATGAAACTTCTGCGTTAAACTTGATAAAATTAAGGGAAAATGTAGGAGGCTAACTGCAAACACAAGTTTTGTCAAATTCTACACATACCTTCAAAAGGTTCCTTGCCAAAATTAAAGAGTACAACACCAACATTTCCTCTGTAATCTTCATCTATGACTCCAGCTGCAATAAAAAGAGTAATTAAGTGCAATACCTAAATTAGTAGATGAATTTCATAACCTCGGAATGGTATCATTTACATTACTGAAGGATGCAGTTAAAAGTATATACTAAATTCTGGAACATCCAAATGCAAATCTAACTTTACAAACCAAAAAGGCTCATGTTTTCCTAAAATTTAATATAGTATTTCAACAAGTCTTTATCACTGTGCTAATGACATTGGTCCCATATTGCAGAAACTTAATTTTTTTTAATAAAAAAAGGGGATGCCATCTCTCTCTTCTAGATTTGAAAGGTTTCTAAATACAGGCAGTCCTTGACTTATGTTTTGAATTGCAACGTTTCGCACTTACGTTTATAAATTGACACCATTTCAACTTTACAACGCCAGTTTTGACTTTACAATGCTCGATCCAACGCAATGCCATGCCAGCGAACAAGTTCGCTGCATCGCTCATCTCCTTGGAGAACATCTGTCCAAACTTTCTTGGACAATTTAAGAGAGCAGCCAAGGCTCCTAAAAAACCTGCAGCCAAGACTCCTGAGAAGACTCCAGCCAAGAACCCTTCAAAAAGTACAGTAAAGTCACCTCAAAGAAGTCCTTCCAAATCAATATGATTGCTATTTACAATATAAATACCTTAATGTAGCTATAGTACTCATCTATAATTGATCCAGTACAAAATTCTGGGGTATTTTTGTTGAAAATAGGGTATCGGGCCTTGGTTCAGAAACCAATCCCCCATTTATAATAGTGTTTCTTATGGGAAAATTGGTTCCAAGTTAGGTTTTGACTTAAAAACGTGGTTTTCAGGAACCAATTGTGTTCTAAGTCCAAGGACTGCCTGTAGCTTATTAAAACCCAGAATAATCAAGATAATTGTGGCAAACTTCAGACCCCTTCTGTAGTATTAGCACTCTTCTAGACTGAAGCAGAATGGGTTCTCCTAGTTTGGTCATTTTACTTGAAAAATATTAGCAAGTTTACAAAAACTGTCTTGTATAGAGCAAGAAAGCCCCACGCAGATACCCAGCTAACTGTACTAGCTCTGGGACTAAATGAAAGCAGTAAAGTCCAGTTACTGCATCCTTCACACAGACTGCTTAGCTTCACTGCTGACATAACAGTTACATTGATTTAACAAGGAGAGACGTCTTTTTTGTGATTCTTCATCAGCTGTTTTAATTGTTTTGTTAACTGGGGCAATTTATTTCAGAATGAAACTGCTATCAGATTACCAGTTTAGGTTTGACTTACTGAAGGAGAGAGGGGCTACATGGATGGTTACTGCAGATCAGCTTCTGAAACACAATTCAAATAATCTGATCTGTCCATGCCCAAGGATGACGTTCACTAATATTCAACTGTAAATATTAGAGGTGCACCAATACACTGGTCCATATCATATCGGCACCGATAAAAGGAAAATTGACATTATTGGCAATCTGCCTTTTTTGGATGATGTGGCTGATCATGCCACTGATCAAATGCCACGTGCACGAGAGCAGCCACAGCATACACATAACTAGGAGTGCAGCCCAGCAGCTTGGAGAGCAGTGTCCAGACAGTAAGTTGGGGTGGGGGGAAGGAGAGGAGGAGAAGCAGATCAAGGCCCCCACAGTGAGGGAGGGACTGTGGCACAGGCAGGTGCTGCACAGGCAGGACAGGGCAGAGCCATGGCTCATCCAGGGGGTGACTCCCAGTGCTGCATGCACCCCAGGGGAGGCATGGGGAACATGTGCTCCCCCAGATCTGTGCACAGGGTGAGGGCAGGCTGCCTGATGTGTGCTCAGGGCTGCATCAGGCTCTTTCTGGCAGGTGGCCTGGGCCTGCGCTGTGCTCGGGGTGGCCAGAGGCAGGGCAGGCAGTGGCAGCGCTGGGAGTGAGACTATAGTGAATTTTGGGGTGGTTGTAGCCTACTCTGTAGCCCCCCTTCCCAGCACTGCTGCAACCTACCCTGCCTGCCCCAAGCCCACAGTGGCAGCCCATCCTTGCCCCATGCACAGAGTGGGGGGGGGGCACATGCCTCCCATGCCTCCTCCAAGGTGCACACAGCAATTGGAGTCATCCCCCACAACATGCTGTCGCTCCATCCCACACCCTGCCCTGGCTAATTCTACTCCAAACCACTTGGAACAACCTTAATGCATCCACAGATGCATCTTGAGCAGGTCCAAAGAGGTGATCCTCCCCCTCTTTGAGGCACTGGTCAGGCCGCAGTTGGAGTAGTGCGCTCAGTTCTGGGCGCCACACTTCAAGAGGGATGTGGACAGCATGGAGAGGGTCCAGAGGAGGGCCACTCGCATGATCAGGGGACTGCAGGGCAGGCCCTATGAGGAGAGGCTACGGGACCTGAACCTGTTCAGCCTCCAAAAGAGAAGGCTGAGGGGGGATCTTGTGGCCTGTTATAAACTAGTCAGGGGGGATCAGCAGGCATTGGGGGAGTCACTGTTCCCCTGAGCACCGCCAGGAGGGACCAGGAATAACGGTCACAAGCTGGCAGAGGGTAGGTTTAGGTTAGATACCAGGAAATGCTACTTCATGGTTAGGGCGGCTAGGGTCTGGAACCAACTTCCAAGAGAAGTGGTGCAGGCTCCTACCCTGGGGGTTTTTAAGAGGAGGTTAGATGAACACCTTGCTGGGGTCGTTTGACCCCAGTACTCTTTCCTGCCATGGCAGGGGGTTGGACTAAATGATCTGCTCAGGTCCCTTCCAACCCTAGAAACTATAAATTAAAAAGCTATTATCAAAATAGCAATGAAGAAAAGTTTCATGTCAATGTGGATGCTGCACCTAAAAGCTCCCCAGTGTTCAAAAAAGCTTTATGGAAAAAAACCCCCAAAACACTCCCACCACTCCTTATCATCAGTTCTGCTAGATCAGTACTATCACCAGCAAGAGACCAAGGATTGGCCAAGGCTCCTGCTATAATTAATTTAATTATTAATTCAGTATGACAGAAAAGCTTCAGTTGCAATGAGGATCCTAACGGAATTTGTGATAGAACCAAGGGCAATTTTGGTAAACTCCTAGTGTAAACACCAGCCTGCACACAGACTTGCACTGACTTAACTAGGTGGGGGCTTTTTTTATTAAGTCAGTATAAGCATGTATAGACAAAGCTTAAGATCCATAACACAATATGGGTAATATATAATACTTGTTCTCTAATTTTCTAGTGATATACTTTATATTATTGTTTCTAGGACCTTCCATCAAAGGATCTAGAACTCCTGCACAAGCGTTAAATCCCATAAATATTAAGTGCGCAGTGCTAGACAAATAGCTTCTCTTGCTTTAAATTATAGTATACCAGTATCTAGCTAACTGAGTGTGTCAATATTTCACACATGATCCCTGATGGGAAATCTAACCTGGCTGTAAACTGAATCTAGACACAACTATTTATATCCTCAACTTTATTGAAGTTTATTTAGATATGTAATTGAGTGCATTTGCTGAATGAGGCAATGTGGCTGGCATGCTGAGAGAATGTATATTCTGCACATAAGTAACAAATTTAGATTTTATATATGCACACACAAGTTTGGTGCAAGTATTTACAGTGTGTGTGTGTGTGTGTGTGTGTGTGTGTGTGTGTGTGTGTGTGTGTGTGTGTGTGTGTGTG